ACACTTGGCCATGGGTCACATTTGGTGGTGAGGTCCCTTACTCCATGGGACCAACACTTTCCCTGGGGAGTGCAGTCGCTCTCTTCAGACATTCCCTAGGTCAGGGTGGTCCTTCCTGAGCGCATCCATATCCTTCGTGAAGGATTGAGAGCCCTTCTGGGACTCTGGCTTTGTGCTGGTGTGCACAGAAATAGCCTGATCTATCCGGCTGTGCTGTGCTGGAGCTAAGTGAAGCCACGAGATCACTCTGTTTCTGACCCAAAGGGACTGGAGACCCTGCTGACAGGGTTCCCCTAGCAGGAGAGATGCTGTCAACTCCATCGTTTTTTCTCCATCTCCATAGATTGAGCAAGAGCCTTGACCGCCTGGGCCCAGAGGTCTTCTTCTGGCAGAGCAAGATCAGCGAGGTGCTGGGCGGCAGCGGTTACAACTCGGATCGGCTCAGCACACCGTACATCCCCCAGCTGACGGGTACGCACCACCCTGGGGCATCCTGGAGAACTGGGGGAAAACTGGTCCCTCGCTCTGCACAGTTAATGGGGGCGTGAAGTTCTTGTGCTACACGTGGGCATGGTGTTTTTCTGCCCTCCTTTAGAGCTGTAGCCTTGGGGAAACCGAGGCACAAAGCAGTGAATCTGAAACTTGCTGGGGTTGCCATGTGCATGGCTGGATGGATGGAAGGAGCAACGGAGCCCACTGGGCTTGGCTCAGTCCTCAGTTCTGCTGGTTTGGCTGAATTTGGGGGAATGGCTCAGCAGCTGGACTGCTACCCTAGGGATGGGATGTGAGGCCATGTTCCCTGGGAGCTGCCTGTGCTCCCCCTGCTGCCCCTGGGGTGGCAGCGATTAGCTCTTCTGCCCTTTCTCTTCCTCCCCAGATGAAGATCGCTTGTCCAAGAGGAAGAGCATTGGCGAGACCATTTCCCTGCAGGTCGAGGTGGAGTCGAGAAACAGTCCTGAGCGAGAGCAGGTACCACGTTAGGCCAGAGCTGCAAAGGCTACCTCCTCCCTGCTTTTAGCAGCCTGATGGCCTGCAATTAAGCCCTCCCTAATTCTTCATTTGGCTGCACACAGAATTGCTCTGCTGGCTGCGAGCTCAGGGGCCCATAACTCAGCCCTGGCGTGTCTGGCAGTGAGCGGGGTCAGAAAGACCCAGGCTCCCCCAGTGCTGCCCTCCAGGTGCTGACACGTCCCAGCCTGCAAGGGAAGCAGCATAGCAGGAAGGGTCTCCCACTGCTGTTTGGGTGGAAAGTCTTTGTTTTCCCTGTATGTGTATTTCTTTGCAATGGGAGCCTTCGGTGGGGTGTAAAGCCTGGCTAGTCCAGCCTGAAAAAAAAACCAAAACATTTTAAAAGTGCAGGTTGCCAGGAAAGGTATCCCTGATCTATAAGGACAGACTATGTTCTGGTGCAAGAATACAGCCTAGGACACTGGTTCTGGGTTGCTGTGACCCCAGAATGGTGTCCTGTGCTGTGTGTTGAGCATCAGCTGCTTTTCTCCTTCCTCTAGAGAGCGCCAGCAGAAGAGATCACGTACGAGACACTGAAGAAGGCGATAGGTAAGCAAGGGAGCCAACCGTGGTAGGGAGAGGTGGAGGCTGGCGTGGTGTGTCTGTGTGGGTTCTGTCACCCCTGTGTCTGTATACGCCGCCGATGGCAGCATCACGCTCACGTCACAGGGTGGTTGGGCTCTGGGGGTGTCCCCGGGGGGCCGGTGCCAAAGCCAGAGGCTGGACACCCTCTCCTTGGCCTTCTAGTGATGCCCAAATCCACGCTGTCTGCTGGGGAGGTGGGGATGCGGCACGGGGCGGTCTCTGCGGGTGGGGAGCAGCTGAGAGCCATCTCCCCTCTGCTTCAGTAGACAGCGTCGCCGTGGAGGAGCAAGAGCGAGAGCGGAGGCGGCAAGTGGTGGAGAAATTTCAGAAAGCCCCGTTTGAGGAGATCGCCGCCCACTGCGGTGCCCGGGTGAGTCGTGGCTGTGGCACTCTCAATCCCTGTGGCCGCTCTGCTGGGGAGAGGAGGAGGGTGACAACGTGGCTCTGACTTTTGCCAGGCCACCCTCCCCCTGCTCCGGTGACAGCCGACGGCAGCCGAAAACCCGCTGCTGGAGCGCGTGGGGTGCCTGACCACACGGCCAGCGCTGGCTGCAGAGCAATGGGAGCCGCCTGCGACCCCCATCAAGGAGGCTCATGTGCTGGGGATGGGTGCCAGCCTGGGGCGGGGGCCTTTGGGATGGCAGCGGGGACAAGAGCTGCTGGGAGCAGCCTCTGCTTTGTTTGCCCCAGTGGTGTGGCACTGGGGAGACCTGCAATGGTGTAGGGGTGCGTGTTTTCTGCACCAGGCTCTGCCTCCTCACCAAACCTCTCTCTAAACCCCCTCCTTCCATCTCTTGTGTTCCAGGCCACCACCAAGCCCCTCCGGCACCATCACAGCCGCCTACGGCCAGCCCCAAAACCACTCCATCCCAGTGTACGAGATGAAGTTCCCAGACCTGTGCGTGTACTGAGAGCAGCCGTGCTGGTAGGGCAGAGCCACCGCTGCACAGCTCGCACCAAAGGACCTCTTGGGGAGAGACTGCTGACCCTGCGGGGAGCCGCATCCTCGTGCAGGAGGGGTGGGGACACGGACGCCAAGGCCACCCCAAGATTTGTTGGCACCACAAACCCGTCTCCCGTACTTTATTTTGTGACTCTCTGCCTCCGCAGCCACGTTTTGCAGCGGTTGGTGGCGCAGGAGGCTGGGGGCACAGCGGCGTGGGGAGGTGGGTGGTTGCTCTGACCTCCCACTCCTGTTTCTTTTTTTGGGAAGGGGAGAGGAGATGCTCTGGCTCTGGACGGAGCACGTTGGGTATGTACATCTTCCCCGCATAAAGCAAACCCGTTCCCTGGGGAATCCCTTCCCACATCGTCTGTCGGCCACGTCGAGAGCCCCTGGCAAGGAGCAGGGCTGCAGCTGGAGGGGTGAGGCTGTAAAAGGCAGGAGGGGGTCTGGGGTGCGGCATGCTGGAGCCTGGGGCGGCCCCCAAACCCAAGCTGGTGCCTGAGGCAGGGTGCTGGAGGGGGGACGGTCCCCATGTCCAATTCCTGGCCTGTGAGCCTGCGTCTTCCCGTAGCCCCTCGGCACATGGCCGGTTCCCCTGGGCACCTCAGGGTGCCCCGACGCCCCGGACGGAGGGCTTGCCCGGTGCAGCACGAGGGTAGCGACGGTCCCATCCCAGCGTGGGGGCACACAGCAGCCTGGCTGGTTCCAGGTCACTTGAAAACACGATTTCTTTGGGAAAACCCACTTTTTCTGGGAAAATCCACAAGAGCCGTGCCTCTCGCCCGGGACAGCGGCAGGCTGCTCGCGGGGAGCTGGTGCAACTGAGCACGCCAGTGGGACACCCGGAGCAGCGGCACGAGCAACCACCGTGCTGGGGAATACTCACACATTGCCCCACCGTTTTCATCTTTTTGGGTTGGCTTTTCGCAGTTGGGGGGCTCTTGTCTCAAAGAAAGCATTACTTATTTATTATCTTTTTTTTAGCAGAATCATTTTGACAAAGTCCAATCTTAAATCACCTGAGCCGTGATCACAAAGAAACCGCAGTGCTGCAGGAAAGAGCTGCGACAAGAGGTGTTTTCCAGGGCCGACCCCGCGTCTGGCCTGCCGTGGGTCGCGCCTCTTCTTGTGCAATAGGATAAAACCGGATTTGGGCTGGGGGGAGACGGGGCTGTCGAGAGAGTTTTGCTTTAAGCACGCGTGGTAGGAAATTCTGGGCCCTGCCAAAGCAAGGTGAAGGCGGAAGGCATGGGGAGGAAGGGTCGCTTGGGGATATTGGGGCGTTCACAGGGTTTCTCTTGCTCTCAAGTGCTGGTGCTGTTCCTCCCATCGCCCTCCGAGCAGCCTGGGGGGCCCTGGGGGGTGGGGGGTGTCTCTCCTGTGAGCTCAGGCAGCCCCTTCCCCTCCGGCCGCCCACGCTGCTCCTTGTCTTCCCTGCACAAGGAAACAGGGGAGGGTCCGAAGCTGGAGACGCGGAGGGACAGTAGGTAGATGGCACCCGCTGGGTGGCTTCAGGCACAGCCCATTTCTCTGCCCCTCTCGCTGCGCATCCTCAGGCAGTTATTTTCAGCTGTAATTACACATTGCCACACTCCCCCCCCCCCCCCCCTTTTGTTTTTTGCCTCAGTGGCAGATCCAGTTGGCGATTGCCCCGAGGTCAGCACTTGTTTGTGTGGTTGTGCTGTAATCCGGGCTTAGGAAATGATCTAGCTTAAGAGGACAGGAAAAACAAGGGTTTATTTCTGTCCCTGGACTGGCTCAGGGCGCTGGCCCCCTCGCAGGGTGGCTCTGCCCGGTGCCTGAGGCTCTCCCCTTGCTGCTGCCCCTCCTCAGTGTCCCCACATGTCTCCATCCCCTGTCCCCAAGCCCTTTTTGCTCCCTGGGTTATGCCCGGTCCCGCGTTTTGGCCGGGGCAGGTTTTGGGGGTGGAGGTGGGAACCAGCAGCCTGCTGGGGGAAGGAGGCTCTGCTCCCGTGGCCGTTCCCATGAAGGGCACTCACATTTTTAACAAAATGCAATTAATTTTGTGTCCGTGGGAAAACACATCCAAAACCACCACGAAGGTGGGACGATGGGCATGAGTTTGTGTGTGCTGAGGGAAGGGAGCCACGGGGACACCGCGGGGCACAGCTTGGGGTGCCCATCGTCCCTTTGGGGGCAGAAAATACCCCCCGGCAGAAAAATATATCTGATCCCGATGCTTTTCCCTTGCTCTGTTCCCTGGGACCTGGCAGGGGGGCTGGGAAAAAAAAACTCTGGATGTCCCCCCTCCCCCCCCCCCCCCCCCCCCCAGCCACGCACATGGTGTGAGGTGACCTGTTTGTACATCACGTTTAGTTTAGATACTTGTGTACGTAGAGATGACAAAATATATTTCTATAAAAGTCGGCAGTTTAGGTGCATGTGTGCGTTGCCCTCTCTGTGTTTCGGAGCACTGTGGCGTTTGCGTGTTTAGCCGAGGGCAAGGAGGGGGTGGGCTGGTGAAAAGGGCCGAGCAGCCCGCGATTATTTTCAAATGCACCGTCTTAACGCCCTTTTCAATAAATGTTGATGTTGCCACCTTAGGGGCTGCGCTCTCCTGGCGTGTTCATGGGTGGTGGCTGCAGGGATGGCAGGGGGTGAGGAAGAGAACGGCCTCGGCTGTGGACAACCTTCCTGCCCCCAGCTCTGTGCCCGGGATCCAACCCAAGCCGCCCTTCATCTTCATCATCCTTCAGAATTCAGCATTTCCTATGTTTTTTTCCCCTCATCCTGCAGAATCACAGCATGGGTTGGGTTGGCAAAGCCCTTTAAGCTCCCCCAGCCCAAGCATTCCCCTACCCCTGCCATCCCACCCCCAAACCCTGGCCCTCAGCACCGCCTCTGCCCGGCTGTTAAATCCCCC